GTAACGTTATTTAATCAACTGCGAGTGGAAGTCGTCATTCATGACATAAGTATGTCACAGATTATAACTATGCACGTATTATATATATTTTTCATCACTTTTCGCTGCAGTTCATCAAGGATGCCAACTATGCCGCTCAAGAGGATCGCCATCTTTTTTCGTTGATACCAGTTATAATGCATCCTAAAAGTGTCGGGGATATTCGCCTGAGAACCAGCGACCCGCTAGATTATCCACTCATAGATCCACGCTACTACGAGAATGAAGAAGATGTTAAAACTATGGTTGCAGGTAACGCATGGAGGCTCACTGATTTGTTTCACGAAATCAATATTAAGGGTGATCTGGCTTTGGAAAATTTCGTATAAACATTGATTTGACACAATATATACAAACACAGAACGCAAAGACGCGCGAACAGACCCAAATTTACGCACGTAGGCCTACGCACTCACGCATGCGCACACGCACATACACATACACATCCGTACACATCCTTAGACACGGTAACACATATACGGGACCTTGTTTACATTTCATATATTTTAACAGGGATCAAGCTGGCTAAAAAGATATCAAAGACAAAGGCATTCCAGTCTATCGGGGCAAAGATTAATCCGCATAACTTGAATGTGCCAGGATGCACTCAGCACGGCAAAGGTAAAATAACATATCACAGCGCTTTGCAATCTATTGCAAATCGTGATAGCATAAGCAAGTAGCAAGTAGTAAGTAATATTACTAATAGCTGTTAATATGTCTGAACACGAATGGCTACATTAACTGGTTATATATATATTGAACATATAATTACTGACGCCATACGCAACACACGATACGTATGAAATTTTTTCACGCTATCATGCGCAATTACTGATTTTATTTACCTGTTCAGTGCTCACACTTCTTTGTCATGCTAACATCGCGCATGAAAAGATAAAGAAGCGTTGTACACGTGACCAAAAATGACGTTTTATGCGTACATTCGGTAAATTAGATTATCGTGAACGTTTTACAAGCGCCTCAATAAGGTGAACATCTTATATACCGTGCTCATCATACGCAGGGGACAAATACCTGGAGTGTGTTGCACGCCGTATATCCACGACGCTTTACCATGCAACGGGAACCTGTAAGATGGGCGCCAGCACCGATCCGTCTGCCGTCGTTGATCCCCAGCTGAGGTTAGTGAGGAAACATCTATGGAAATTTTACGCAGGCGTTATCCCTGCGTCCGAAGGCGTACCAAGCTATTTTCAATTCAATCTATGGTTACCATGTGACTCGTGCCAGTGTGTGATCCACCCACTCGTGTGTTTCAGGGTGCGTGGAGTAGAAGGACTGAGGGTCGTGGATGCCTCCATCATGCCGGA